TAACAAGTTCTAAAAGTGTGTGTGTGTGTGTGTGTGTGTGTGTGTGTTTTACAAGTGTTTTGAAACACACTTGGTAGAGTTTGAGAACTACCAGGCTAATGTGACATTTGCAAGTCCAATAGACTTTGAGTATACATAGATCTTAAGAAGAACTGAACTGCTTAAATAAAATAAAATCTCTTTCATTTTAACTAACTCAATAGCATTCATATTTGTGACAGTAATATCATCTTTTCAGTTCTATCCATCCTTGTTTAGTATAAAAATATCTCATTCCATGTCTTTAGAAATATTGAAAGCCACTAAGTACAATTAGAAATGTCATTTCATAAATTTGCAAATTTCAGTAAATCCTTTTATTTCTTTTTATTAAATAGGAAGGGACAGAGAAGGAAGCCACCTTGAAAAATTATGTTCATGCTAATTATGGCCTGTTGCTTCCCCATGACAAGGTTTTATTTTGAAGCCCTTTACAACTTTTATTAGAAACAGGACCTTTTTGTTACTGTTTGTTGCCCCAGGAGTTTTAAAAGAACTGATTTTCTGTCAGAAAAGATTGGAATCAATTGCAGTCTATCCTTCTAGATAGTGCTAAAACATTTATTTAAGAGTTTAGCTGCTTTCCCGGCCTTATCTGTATTCTGAACTGTTTGTCCAATGAAATAAAATTCATTCATGCCTTTGCTCTCTCTGTTATTGACAAAGTACACATTTCGTGTAACTCATAGCCAGAATCCTGTCTTCTGGGAAAACGTCTCTCTAAACTTGCCTGAAGGAATTATTTTAGTATACTTTTCCCGTGCCAAGTCAAGAACACCTAAATGGGAAATTCCAGGGGTAAAAGGAAAATAGCAGCAGGGCCAATAGACTGGTAACTTAGATAGGCTAATGAGCAAAACTAGAGGGACTCCCTTCCCTGATCCAGGTTCCTCATCAGAGTATCAGGGTTGAACAAACGTTCTGAAATAATGAACTCTGTGTTTCATTTCTTCTAGGAGGCTTAGTTGCTTATTTGCATTTATAGATACAATAGCATTTTCAATGCATTGGCTAATGCTTTATGCATATATAAATATGCCAAAACTAAACACACTGTTCTGTATAACTAATATGCATTGATAATAAAAGTATAAAGCACAATACAGTGCACACAAAATAGTCTTCTTTCTTAGTTATTTTTAAATGACATGATAATTGTACATAGAAATTAAAAAAGATAAAAAGAACAGTCCAACAAAAATACAAAACAATCAACACAATGGCAGGAGTAATTCCTTAACTTTCAGTAATAACTTTGAATGTAAATGATTGCTTCCCCAAGAAAGACACAGAAACACTGAGTGGATTAAAAACAAAACAAAAACAAAACAAAACAAAACACCCACCAAGTCTTAACTATATGCTGCCTGCAAGAAACTCACTCACCCATAAAGACATTGTTATGACTTTTGTCTAGATGTCACCCCAAAGTCTCATGTGCTCATAAGGGGCTTTTCAGAGCTGGCTGGATCTAGGGTGTGTGATACTGAGATTAAGAGGCTGTGGTACTAAATTAGTCTATTGATTGGAATTAGTATAGTTTTGGGGTGCCCCCACCCAAAAGGCTGGTAGCCTGGATGGGATAAAAGCAAAAGGCAGGCTGATTGCTGCTTGCTGCTTGATGCCTTCTACCTGCCCTGACATAGATTGTTTCTCCTCTGTGATGCCCCTGTGTCATTCCTTCCTGCCTTGAAGCCAGCCAACTATGGACTGAAACCTCTACAGTGAGTTGAAATAAATTCATGGGTGTTGGATATTTTATCTCAGCAATAAGAAAGAGACTAAGACAGATTTACATACTGAAAAAGTTTTTATTCCATTCTGGTGCAGGCTGCAGTGATGACTCTGCCACATTCCTGGGTCCATCAACATGCTGTGCCATATATTGTCTCTGTTGCTGTTCTCTGAGAGTTTCTTTGATGCTGACTATGTTAGTCTGTTTTGTGTGACTGTAACAAAATACCCAAAGCTGAGTAACGTGTAATGAAACAGCTGATACTTAGCTGGTAGTTTTGGAGCCTCGTATTCTAAACACCATTGACCATCACCACTGTCTTAGTCCCTTCTCTGCTTAGCATCTCTGGCTAATAGCAGAGTTCTTTTATTTTTTTTCAGCTCCCCAAGTCTAGGACTATTCTTCAAGTGTTCTTACGGGGATGATTCTGGAAAGACAAGAATGTCAACTCCCTACATTCCTGGCCTATTATGGGACTGTCAGATACCTGCCCAGGCAGAAGAGAAAAAAACTTCCCAGGCAACACCTTTACACGTCCTGTAGGGAGCAAAAGATAACAGGAAGCTAAGGTCCAGGTTCCAGATAAACAGCCTGCACCACACAGCAACACCTGGGGGTCCAGATACCCCTGGAGACCCCCAGAATTCCTCCACCCCAGAACAAAAGACTTCCTCCACTCCAGTCCAGATTTTCCACTCCTCCCAACACTACCCCTCCCCTTTCTCAAACTCCCCTGTAAAGTTTTCCTTAGTCCAAGCCCCTGGAGTCAATGATCTTGTCACCCTTGACTTGCCTGAATTTAGGCTGGAAATAAAACCTCACTTGTTGCTTCATTTTTGCCTATTCCAGTGATCTTGGCTGTGCCTCAGTTTACCCTAACTGAGAATTGTCCTCTTGTCCTGTTTTTACAGAAAAATCTTCCCAGTCATAGTCCAGCCCCATTCAAGCATACCTTGATGATGTCCCTGGGTTCCTTCAGGAGCATCACTCATTGTCATAGCTGAGGAGAGCTGGGCATGGGGGCACACGCCTGCAATCTCAGTACTCTGGGAGGCTGAGGCAGGAGGATTACAAGTTGGAGCTCTGTGTAGGCAATTAGCAACTTAGTGATATGCTGTCTCAAAATAAAAAGAAAAGGAAAGAAAAGTAAAGAAAAGAAGTCTGGGGATATAGCTCAGTGCAAAGATCCAGGACTCAAACCTCAGTATTTATAAAACAAATACATAAACAACATATTAATAAAAATTTTAAAAAATAGAAGTCAGAAAGAGAAGACTATACAAGACCCCAAAAGTAGGAATTTCCAAACAGATCTCAAATGACAGCCACTTCCAAGAGCAAGCAGAGGAGCAGCGAGTTGACAGAAAGAGGGAAGCACTTTTGGAATGTAGAATAAGAAATGCTTTGCAGCAGCAGTGGCCCAGGGCTGTCAGAACCCAGCGTGGGCTCAGATGCCGGGAGTGTGAGGCTAGTGATCTCAACACACAAACACCATGTACAGAGAGATGCTCTTCCTCTCGACTGTGTGATGGGGCAAAACAGTTATAAGAAACAGGAAGAGGAAATTGGCCAGGGAAACAAGACTTGAGGGTGTTTTTCTTTCCCTCTGGCAATCCTGCTGCTGGGAAGAGCTCCTTTTCTGGCTATTTAGAAGTAAGTAGCTGGAGGCATTTTGATGTTAAATCAGCTTTAAAGTGAGACAAAGGCCTTTGAAACCCTAGCTCCTGTAAGTCAGCCCAGTTTAAACTGGATGTTCTCATCAGGAGCAATACTGAGAGCCAGGTTTAAAAAAATGGAAAAGGTAAACATTAGTGAAAAAGGGACCATACTGGGACTTCGATTTAGTTTATAGATTATTTTAGCAGAAAAGAATCGTATACTATGAAAATGATAAATAATTTTAGACCTCAGAATCAGCAACAGTTGAAAGCTTGGTTTTTGGCATTCACTAGATGGGTGATTTTGGAAGAATCCGTCTTCATTATAAGCCCCAGTTTCTTTTTGTGGAGAAAATAAATACTTCATATGTTCCAGGTAGCACAGATGAAATCACTAGAGACAGCTAAGTTAGGTAAAAATGTTATAGGCAGTCAGACAGGGTGAGGCCCTGGAAGAAGTCAGTGCAGAAGATGAGAACACTTTACAGATGTGGATGGAGGCACATTCTGTCAGGTCTGACATAAGTGAGTTCTTCACAAACAAGCAGGGCGATGCAAACAGACTGCTTTCAGCAAACAACAGGCTATTTCTCAGTAAACAGAAGTCAATCTCTCTGGAGCCAGAAAGTCCAGGGACCGGCTGCGTTGACTGTCCTTGGACTCCAACATAAACTTCTCACCCCAGATTCCTTAGCCCCTTCAGTACCTATAGAAGCCATTCCTTTCCCAGTTAGTTGCTAAAATCTCTCTCCTGGTGTCAGCCAATCCTCTCAAGGATGAAGTCTCTCCCAGCTAGCTGCTGCTATTTTTCTCTCCCAGTGTCAGCCCATCCACACACGGATGTAATAAACTTGGCTTTTTCTGGCTAGCTGCTAAAATCTATCCCCAATTCCAGCCCCTGATTTTAGTCTCTACTCACTGGAATAAACTTTTCTTTTTCTCACAAAAGCCCATCTCAAGAGAGTGGTTTCATGTGCACCATTTATAACACATTAATTGAAGGCCAGGCCTCAAGACAAAGATGAAATGACTACACTTTCTTCTCCAGTGATAAGCAATAATTATTGATATTCTAAATAGGCATTGATTACCTGGACAGGGGACCAGAACCTTAACCCATCACTTTCAGAAAGGTCTTTGTTCTTTCCATGCATACTTGCTACATGACCTGCTTCCCCATTGGATTAATATTTCCTAAGTGACTATACTTGTAATCTTTTTTTTTTTTTTTTTTCCCCCGGTACCAAGGATCGAACCCAGGACCTTGCGCTTGCAAGGCAGGCACAGTGCCACTAAGCTAAATCCCCAGCCCTATACTTGTAATCTTATTGGTCAGCCATCGTTTTGTCCCATGTCATGCCCACCTCGTGATTTTGTATCCACTTCATGATTTTGCCCTATAAAACTTCTTTGAGAAGTGGAATCATGCGCAATCCACTTTCCAGGTGTCCCCATCTGTCTCTCTTAGACAGAAGCTATCTTTTCCTCAATAAATATTTCCTACCCTTAACTTCTATTATTCCTAGAATTCCTTCTTTGATTTTAGAGAACATGAACTCAGTGTATTGGACATCTAACAGGCTGGGAGTTGTAATATTTCCCTTATGTCATCTGGAAGTCATAAATCATCCATAGATCAAAATGATACAAGGTAAGCCAGCGCCTGGAAGCATGTTACACCTCATTCCCACAATGGGGATTGAAGGGTTGGGATGGTAAATATGCCAGTGTTTTTCACTGCATGTCAACAAGGGTTAACTTTATCCCTTATAGCCTCAGACTGCAAATGACTACAGGGACGAAGAGTGAGGGTCCTCATTGACCCGTGAGGCATTGCTTGTGTGAAGGTTGACTGATTCCTGCTTTTGGGGTAAGCAAATATCATATATAGCGCACAGGCCAGTAATCCCAGCACTCTGGGAAGCTGAGTCAAGAGGATTACAACTTTGAGCATAGCTCGGGCAACTTAGAAACTTAGTGAGACCCTGACTCCAAATAAAAATAACAACAGGGCTGGGTTATATATAGCTCAGTGCAAAGGTGCTGAGTTCAACCCAAGTACTTAAAAAAAAAAAAAACTTAAGGAAACATCACATTTATACACAGCTAGATTGCTGGTGAGAGGACAGACTCACTGAAATCCACAGCCATGTCTGTCTGGCTTCCTGGCATTCTTCCTTAGGGAAGAGCACACTTGGAATTGTCAAAGCCCCCTTTAAGGTAAAGGCTGGGTCTTGGTGCTTCCAAGGTGCCATCTCTATTATCATGGCAGCACCACGAAGTGCTTCTCATTCCCATTTCTTAGATGAGGAAGGTAGGCTCGGGACTTGCTGACCAGTCTATGCTACTTACGCTGCTTGGTCCACACTGGGCTGAGCTAGACTGCCCTTCTGGAAAGAAACCATTGAGGCAGCACAGGGCTTATAAAGAGGTGAGTTCCTAGCATAGGAAAGCTTGGAGCTGAGCTGGAGGCCAGTGACTGGAAGAGAAGGTCTACAGCCACTGTATTGGTAATAACTGCATGTGAGACCTTTGGAGAAAGTGCTGCCTGATTTCAGGGCTGGGGCACGAAGAGTATAATGGGACTTTGTGACACCATATCATTCAAGAGAGTGCAAAGGTTACTAAAAAGCAAGAGGGCCACATAAAAAGACACAGGTACTGACTGAGTGGAATTCATGCTGTCTAAGTCTGCAACCGTGTGGGCACCCAATTGAGTAAAATCCAAATCAATGAATCCATATGGTAATAAGCAAACACACACAGAGATAAAGCTTTGCCTTATCTCAGAAATGAAACAGACATGAAGGAGGCAGGAAACCCTCAAATCCATAACCAAAGTTAACAGCGGCTACTAAAACTGGGTTGAAAGTTTGGGAAAGCATGAAATATTTGTGGATCATCCATCAGTCCACCCAGTTTATGAATTCATCCTCAGATTCAACCAACAGCAGGTCAAAAATATTTGAAAAAAAAAAGGTTGCATCTTTACTGACCACATACAGACTTTTCCTTATTGTTATTTCTTAAACAATATCATAGCACAGCCATTTCCATAGCACTTAAATTGTATTAGGTCTTATAAGTCATCTAGAGATGATGTGAAGTATACAGAAAGATACACATAGGTTGCACTCAAATGTTGTGCCATTTTATATACAAGATGAGTCTCTGGATTTTGGTATCTGTGGTGGCCTTGAGACCCAGCCCCTGCGAATACTTTAGTCTCAAAGTATCCATTCACAAAGTATGTTTTCATTAAAATGGAGAAATGATTGACTTTACAGTCAGCAGAGGGGCATTAAGAGCCACTTAATCTAGTAGGGGAACTAATCCCTTATCTCAGTGGGACACTTACAGCTGCTCAAGGTAAGAGTTAAAATGTAGTATTATAAGGTTCAAATTCAGATCTAACTGACTTCGAAAAGGAAGCCGTTTCTGCTTTATTTCCCCTGCATCCTGGATGGAAAAGGTGTCACTGGTGATGATTGGCATATCAGTGGAGTGGAGTCACCGCGTGGTCTGGAAGGTGGCAGAGTGATGTCCTTTTCCACCGCATTTATATCCTTGGGACTGTCTGACGCTGTAGGAAATATGAAAGGAACATCCTGAAAATTCATTGCCTATCAGACAACGTACTGAGCTGTGATGAGAATTTACTGGAAGACTCACCAAGTCACAAACTAGATGCAGCACAAAGGGTGGGAAGTTAATTATATGGTCAATTGCTCATCCATATTTACACAGCAATATTACAGGATTATTTTCACCTTGGAAAACAAATCCATTTGGATAATCAATGTTATTTTCCAATACAGTTCCTAAACTCTACTCAGGGACTTTAAAAAAAAAGTACTGAGAATGAGGTTGATCTAATATTCTTCTAAAAAATAATTGGATGGAATCATACCCAAGAATAGCCCTTAAAGAGAAAGTCTGCTTTCTCTTTAAGTATTTGATAGCACAGAATGCTGCTGAAGATTTCAGAGGACCCCAGAGGGAGTCCATGAACATACCTAATAGAATGTGATTTTGCTCCATAGGGACAGCTTCTGTATGAAAAGTTTTAAAATTTTTTTAGTAGTGAATTAAGTCATTCTTTGAACTTGGGATTAACTCAGCAAAAATGCGTAGGCAAAATAAATGTCCTAGACATGGGCAAAGCCAATCACTTTATAATTTGTTCAAATGCTTGGCACCTGTATCCATTTTCCCCCCAGCTATAGAGAGCCTCATTTATTTTTGGTGGCCGCAGAAAGATGTATTACACACAACTGAATTATATAACTGAAGCCTGAGTTTTAAAAAGCATTTGGAATAAAATCTCCCTAAAATGTTTTATATCTTTCTCTGTGTTCTTTTCCAGAGGACTTTGCAGGTCACAGTTTAACCTCTTTCCTTCTTTTTCCCACTTTTCCTGCTTCCCTTTCTTTTTTCCCTTCTATTCCCTTTCTCTTTTTCTTCCTTCCTTCCAATTTCTAGATCCAACTGCAGGTATTTTAGTGAATCATTTCAGTGGTTTGGTGGATGATCTATGTGGGCCTGAACTATAGGTGGGATTTGGTCCAGGCTAGGGATCCTGAGTCAAGAAAAGCCCTAGGTATGATCAGAAAAATGGATAATGAGTATTTTATAGCAACCAGACAACGCTGCTAACAATTTTCCTATGATCGGAGACATTGCAGAAGGATGGACAGGAGGGACCCCAGGTCCAGCGTGGAAGGAGGAAGGATAAGATGCAGATGTGGCTCAGGTGGAGGGCGTTTCTTCACCCAGATGTGCTCATGCACAGAACCCAGCATCCTCCCAACTCCTGGGTGCCAAGATTTCTGCTTTATCTTCTCAAAGAACGGATAGACCGTGTCTAATGGGTTATCTTGCTGCACTCGACTCCAGGGCAGCATAAGTAAGTAGAGGGATACAGGAGGCTAATCAGGGTCAAAGAGAGAGATACAGACTCACTGTGGGTGTTCCAGGGACACCATTCTTGACATTGCTACCACACACTAGCTTCTCCATGCCTCAAAATTCCTTTCTGCTTGAGTCTCTTCAATTACCTGTTGCTTTAGGATATGTATAACTCACCTGCAAGCCGAGTCTATCCCTGAATGTGGTTCCCATGGACATTTTTTGCCCCTTCTGCCATTCCTCTTAGTCTTCCAATATGTTCTGCTCCTCAGGCACGTGTCCTCCACCCTGACCGCAGACCCATCCCAGTCCTCTTAGTCCTGCCTTATTCCTATATTGTGCTGCCACCATTTCCCCCTGGCTCTTTCCAGTGGCAGTGCTATAGGAAAGAAGACACTGAGGCCCTGTCCAAGGGCATTGTAGGGACCACGGGTGACCCCTTCGGAGGTGCAAGGGCAGGAGAGCCAGAGAAATGATCTGATAGGAGTCACAGGATGTCCTGCAGAGCGCATTCTGTCCATGTCAACTGAGCTGCATGATTGCTTAAGGCCTTCCAAAGAACCCTTTGTGTGGTACATGAGAAAGCCCACGCTGGAATGCCTCCTTCACCAAAAGCTCCTAAACGGCAGCCCAAATCAGAGTTAAAGTGAAGTGAAAATACTTTTCCTCTTTTCCCACAATCCTCCACTGAGTTCATCTCCAATCTCATCTAAATCATACAAGACCTGAAGATGGAAGCAAATATGTGGATGCTGAGAGCAATAGCAGGTAAGGCTATAGATTATGGGTCCCAACCCCTGGGCCTATCAGGAACAAGACTGTACAGCAGGAGGTGAGCAGTGGTCCAGTAAGTGAAGCTTCATTTCTATTTCCAGCTGCTCCCCATTCCTCCGCCTCCAGTCTAGATTCTTCTCTGAGTGCCGACCCCGGTGTGAAGTGTGCAGGTGCAGGACCTAGGTTGCGCACTCCTTTGAGTCATCCTGCAACCATCACCTACCTCCCACACTCTGTCTTCCATGGGTCCAGTCCCTAGTGCCAAAAAGGTTGGGAACCATAGCTGTAGATGATGCCTGAGCATGGAGAAGATGAGAAGCTTTGAACTGGGTATGAGATTGAAGTTTTAAACAAGGCTCCCCTGGGCTTTTCCTGCCTGAGAACAACCGGAAAGCAGCAACACTGAACTACCAGGTTGATCGTGTATGTGGAATGGAGCACCCACCGATGGTTATGTACAAAGCTGGTGACTGGAGGAAAGACTAAGGTTATTTTCTTTTGGTAACATCTAAAGTGGAAACAGTTCCCCAAACTGGTTGCTGGCTTGTGTCTTGATTGTCATCCGGGTTGAATTAGTCCTTCAGCAAGAAATGAGACCATTTTAAATAAAAAGAACTTGCCGTAACCTCAGAAAAATTCATAAGTGGCTACAGAGCTCCACATAGAGCCATGAAACGAGCGAAGACTTCCAAGTTAACCAACTTAGCTGCAAATTTGAAATCTGTGACTTTTCACATATGTGACCTCGAGCAAATCCCTAGAGTTGACCTTACTTATTTTTTTAAAGAAAGTAATAATTCTCATTTCACTGTATGGCCATGAAAACCAAACATTGTCATAATTGTTGTATGTACAAGTAATCAGTCTTTGTTCATTTATCTTCTCGCGAATAGAAAAATATAAACACATTGCTAATTGTTCCATAAATTCCTAGTTACAATAAACTTAGACTAAGAATTGGGCCTCTCTGTACCTACATTTTTACAATTTATATTTATCTCTTTATTTTTAATTGAAGAATCACATTTGGAGCATACTTAATGTACATGTCTGCACTTGTTCTGGTTATCAGGTTGTAAAGTAACAAACCACCCAAAACTTGGTGACTTTAAATCAACTTCTTATTTTCTCTCAAATTCCCTTGGGTTGACCACATGCAACCAAGTGATTCTTTCCCTTGACCCTTCA